TAAGATATTTGCCAAGGCTGTACCCCTTACTCGATAGAATCAAATGAGAAAAGCTATTTGTAACTTTTGGAAAATGTGTTTGGAAGTATTCAAAATGTGGTGCTGGTTAGGTCTGCAAAAGCACACATCCTCTTCTCATCTTTGCTGTCTTTACCGTTGTTCTGAAGCGCGTACTATTATTTAATTTATAGATCATACCTAAGATTGACGGAATAAGATGCGTGAAGGAGATTGCCACTGAAGTAGAGATTGATGCGGATCTGGTGATGCGATGCGTTAGGTAAGCTTGTACTTCACACTAATATCGACTTCTTATCCAGTACATTAAGGAACTTGCATTTCTATGAGTGTGTAAGTTTGGTGCCTCTGTTCTTGTACTCGAATACTTACGTTGCGACAGAGAAATTGCATGACTTCTATAATGATCATGCGGAACGAGAGGTGCTAAGTTTGACTTTTGCACATTTTAGATACATTTACTCGCTGTTCTAGCCCTAAAGCTCATTTTTAGGATTGTCTTCAGTTTGCTCGCCATCGTCTAACTGATGGTGAACTAGGCCCAGTCCCAAAATTTTGCGATGTCTTTAGATTACTGATGAGCCTCAAGGTTTGTGATTTGTCGAACATATTATCTTCTCAATGGAATGGATTTAGTGCGGAATTACTTTGCGTGAATGGTGTGACACTATGATGCCACGTCGATATAATGTAGACGAACGCCGCTTAGTTCAGTTTGGTATGCATCATCAGTTTCTGCGAAAGTTGTCCATATATCCCATTGCTACAATCCCAACTAATGAGGTTGAGAGATCAGGAAAGTGAGTTTTCCTTCTACTATTGATCTTTGCTGTTTTTTATTCGTTGAATTTTGTTTTTCTTGTAATCGACGTTATTTCCACTGTGTCTCTTTTTTTGAAATGTTCTTATTGTTAGAGAAGCTCGTAGTTTCCGCAAGTCGTACACCCCGCTTATTTTGAGCACCGAAGTCCGGCAGAGAGAAAAGAAAGCTTAAAGGCAATTTCCGGGCAGGATTTCGAATGAAATTTTTTTCCCTTACCTGGGCTCATTCTCTCGCTGATCCCGAATTGCAGCTTGGAGAGTGCGAAAATGTAGAAAACGGGCTTTTCCAGAGGCCCTTGATTTTAATGACACTTGCCGCCAAGGTTAAAGGCAGTATCCGCGCAGATTTGGAACTCCTCATGCATGCTCCTCACGCACGTTCCAACAGTTTACTGATGCGGGCTCCTCATGCAGACC